TTTCATCTGGATTGGGAAGGACAGAGCAGCTTTGGTGAACCTGCGTCACCTGTGGCATAGGTGTGACACCAGCTTATCCGTTAAGGGTAGAGTTTACAATGCTGAGGTGCGCTCCGTATTACTATACAGATCAGAAACCTGTCCGCTGTGCGCTTAGGACGTCGAAAGGCTTTCAGTGTTTGACCATCGATATCTTCAGAGCATTGCCCTGGTCTGGTGAGAACACCGGATCAGCAACGCTCAAGCACGTTAAATGGTATTCGGAAGGAATAACTCATCCACGATAGATGAACTGACCACACTACATAGGTTGTGCTGGCTTGACCAGGTGCTGCGTATATCAGTCGGCCGACTTGCTCAAAGGGTTCCTTTCGTAAAACCACGTGAAGGGCGGAAACTAGCCAGAGGGGTCAAAAAAATGACTTGGAAGCGAAGTATGAAAGCCATTACCAGCAAACTCAGCTGTGCTAGTCATTACCGTCTTCCTGGATGGGGACCAAGAGACGGGCCACATCAATGGTTAGACATTGTCAGACATGGCTCAGTCGCGCCCTCAGTGGCGTTCGTGCATCCAAGTTTTTGCCTTCAATGCACACCCCTCTTAGCAATTCTCCCAATCAATAGTCCACTGACAGTGCTGCACCTATTTCTCATTTCCCGCCTCTAATGTGCAGCTACCTGCCCCACCTCACTACATCGGTGAACGAAACTGTGGCAGCTACAGCCACCGTACGATAAGTACGCGATTCTTACAGCTGACAAGGATGATGATGGGCGCATTATTTCGAAAAGCAATTCAGCTGGCCACTTGTTATCTCTAATCCGGAATCCTGGCCTTCAATCGAAAAGTGGACGGCGAATAAGAGGCCGCATTCAACTTCAGGAGTTTCCTAGTCTACATCTCTACTCAAGCGTCGCCGTGTTACTGGTGCTGAAGACTTTCCAGTTGCTCTGTTCAGTGATGGCGGTGAGTTTCTCAGCCAGTACCTGTCTGGCGTATTTGGGTCTACCTGGGAGAAAAAGGCCATCCCAGACAACTTGGTTGAATCGATAGTGCCTATTTTCAGAAAGGGTACTCGCGGTGAATCTAGTAACCACAAAGGTTTTCGTCATTGATGAAATAATGAGGCGAACGCTCGAATATCTTCAAAGCCCCGGTGTTCACATCGTTGCTCATAAGAACCTTATCGATATGGGGTGCGCAAACATCGCCCTCACCTTTGAAGACCAAGATGAAGCACAAGTCCTGTTGAATAGACTGACCACCGCCTTTCACCTTCAGAGTGGAAGTCAAGCTTCAGAACGCACAACCTCTGGACACACCCATTACAATTCAACGAGTCACTGGAGGTAGTGGAGAATTTTACACTTGCTCAAAGGGTTCCTCTCGTAAAACCACGTGAAGGGCGGAAACTAGCCAGAGGCGGTCAAAAAATGACTTGGAAGCGAAGTATGAAAGCCATTACCAGCAAACTCAGCTGTGCTAGTCATTACCGTCTTCCTGGATGGGGACCAAGAGACGGGCCACATCAATGGTTAGACATTGTCAGACATGGCTCAGTCGCGCCCTCAGTGGCGTTCGTGCATCCAAGTTTTTGCCTTCAATGCACACCCCTCTTAGCAATTCTCCCAATCAATAGTCCACTGACAGTGCTGCACCTATTTCTCATTTCCCGCCTCTAATGTGCAGCTACCTGCCCCACCTCACTACATCGGTGAACGAAACTGTGGCAGCTACAGCCACCGTACGATAAGTACGCGATTCTTACAGCTGACAAGGATGATGATGGGCGCATTATTTCGAAAAGCAATTCAGCTGGCCACTTGTTATCTCTAATCCGGAATCCTGGCCTTCAATCGAAAAGTGGACGGCGAATAAGAGGCCGCATTCAACTTCAGGAGTTTCCTAGTCTACATCTCTACTCAAGCGTCGCCGTGTTACTGGTGCTGAAGACTTTCCAGTTGCTCTGTTCAGTGATGGCGGTGAGTTTCTCAGCCAGTACCTGTCTGGCGTATTTGGGTCTACCTGGGAGAAAAAGGCCATCCCAGACAACTTGGTTGAATCGATAGTGCCTATTTTCAGAAAGGGTACTCGCGGTGAATCTAGTAACCACAAAGGTTTTCGTCATTGATGAAATAATGAGGCGAACGCTCGAATATCTTCAAAGCCCCGGTGTTCACATCGTTGCTCATAAGAACCTTATCGATATGGGGTGCGCAAACATCGCCCTCACCTTTGAAGACCAAGATGAAGCACAAGTCCTGTTGAATAGACTGACCACCGCCTTTCACCTTCAGAGTGGAAGTCAAGCTTCAGAACGCACAACCTCTGGACACACCCATTACAATTCAACGAGTCACTGGAGGTAGTGGAGAATTTTACACACTTCGGTAGTTGTATTAGCTCTGACGGAAAGGTGCCTAATGAAGTCAATGCAAAAATCTTAAAGGTCCGAAGCACGTTTCCTAATTTGCATCACCGGTGGCGTCGAAAGGCATACCATTGAGTCTTAAGGGTCACTACAGTAAGGGCTGCGTTGTTGTATGGCTGCGAAACGTGGTCACTGCGGACAGATCTAAAGCGTTGTCAGGTTTTTTAGCACCGATGCCTCATAAGCGCTGCCAGATTTGGATGGCATCAAGAGGTTAGCGACAAGATGATCAGCAAACGGGTATTGGGTTGTGCAGAAAACATCCAGCGCTATCGACTACGACGGCTCGGCCATGTTCTACGCATGCCGAGACACCGGAGACAAGTGTTGTTCTCCATGCCTCCAACAGAATGGCAGAAGGGTATGAAAGAGATTACGAAGAGTTTGGATGTTTGCGATGCACGCCTTCCGGGATGGGGTCCCAGTGATACCTCCCGCGTTTGGCTAGAGACATTGCACAGAACGGCGGTTGATCGATGTCAGTGGTGTTCGTGTTGTTAGTTTCTTTTCAGATTGTATGACTGAGCTCTTGAAGGTGAAGGTACCCCAGAATGATTCTGATAGGCCAGCACTATGTCCCCTCCATCAACCACAATTTCTCCCTTTTTTCAATAAGGTTTTAAATGCAATAAGATTAATTTTATGGCTGTATGACAGTAAAGCATCAGCGTCAACATTGATGTTGACGATCATACCTCATCGAACGCGGAGAAAAACAACTTGTCGGCTGGTAACGAATTCAATCTATTGGACCAAGCTCTGCTGGACGTGCCACTTACCCCTCGTTTTCCTATCGGGTTTTACTTCAATTACATCGTCCACTCCTAATCAACTCTGCCCCCTCCAAGTACATATTCACCCTATAGTCAAGAAATAGTTTATCCTTTTGCTGCAGCTTGTGAACTTGTGGAATTCAGGTTTAGTTACGGCATATGGTGCCTTCTTGGTATTAGTTTACAATCATTTAAATGGGGTGGTAAGACTTTTATGTAATCGGTTTGCTGGAATGAGGTTCCTGTCAGAGGACATCGTTTGGGAATACAGCACCCTAATATTTTGACAATACATATGTTGTCCAAGTACCAAAGCACCGAGAAGGTGAAGTCTAAACTGAAAAAAACCGGTTGGCACTGGAATATCGAAATTCGACACGCATGGGCGATGCCCGTCATTCACTTCAAGCCTCTACCAGAAAATGGCTGCATCTTCATCTCCAACGTCGCATGGAAGCAACGGTTGCTTGTTTACGATGACGCAGAAACCCAATTCACCAAAAAATGTCACTACGAACTATCTCTGTAACTATACAGCAGAACGCAAAGGCGTACACTCCGTTTGCCAAAAGAATGCTATCGCGCAATGGCAGCGTACACTTCGAAAGGGACCACTCTGATTCCGTCAACACTATCAACTTCGATCAGATGCTGTCCCAACACGATGATAACAGTCCAGCGAAAAAAATCAAGGGCTTTCCTATGAACACCCCTCGTCTTTACGTATTGTACCGCCGACAGTGGCATAGTTGAACATAAAGGAAGTGAATTCCAATCATTGTGGATGCCACGAGGTCACAGTTTCAGGCCACGAAACTGACAAAACACACTCTTGATCTCTCTCTCTACTTCGAACAGATGTATTCGTGAACTACAGTCTTATCCCACAAAAAAACCTGCTTCAACTTATTACCGGAGTGAAGGCAAGGCAAGCAGTAGAATTTCACAGATAATAGCAATCAAACTGCAAAGATGTGTGCTTGCGAAGAGGATGAATGGTTCGAGCCTACCACTTTTCTGTGTCGCTGTTAACGGCTCTAAGCCATCGTAATTTGGGACGAAATAATAGAGGAATAACGAATCAAAGGACAATCGTAGAAGAGTCCTAGACATATTTCACAGCACAGCTAACTGCGGAAATCTTTCACAGTCAGGAATGACAGAAACTTTTCTCGTTTGTCCTCCATCACAGTGGTTCGATAAAGTCATCGGAGGGCGCATGGAAAATATAGGCGGAGTTCCAAAGTTTCAAGTGCTACTGAAGACCTGGTGGGATCCAACCCAACCCTATGCTCATAGCGACAGGACAAAGAGCCTCATCTGGACCAGAGAGAGAAACTGCAGAGGCCTTGGCTTAGGAGCATAATACAACTGATGACGGACGTTGTTCTAGGAATGTTTTAGATGTTTTCTAGAGCTTTATTGGAGACAGGACATACCGCTCAGCTGTTTGATCAATTCGGTTCTTAGCTGACCTACTCTGAAGCCTAAGTTGGGCAATATACATGAATTTAGCCGACCGTGATTATGCACATCTTAGCTAAGATTTGAGTCATATCTAGAACTACAAGAGACAACTGTGAGGTCGAAATATGCTTCTTATGCATCGGTGACAAGCAACCCGAAAGAAACAGAGGCCAAAATACCACCAGAATTCCCAGGCCTATAAATGAGCGGTCGAATTATGGTTGTTCGACTCAGTAGCTCTCATCTTGAGCAACGAACCAGCTTGAAACTTCTTAGGCTGTTTTACCCAACAGCACGGTAACAAGGCCTCTTTGCCTGAGAGACACTGGTTGGGGGAAAAAACATGGCAGAACAGCAAGGTTATCAAGTGGTAATTTAGCTATGCATATTTGGTAAGTTAGAATGGAAATCTTCCAATGTTCAATGGGCCGGAAGGGCCCGACTGTGGAAGTCTAGACGGAGTGGACGACGGTGTTCGGACATTGGAAATGTTTGTGTTCGTTCGACTCCAGGTAGTGCTTCCACCAATCAGCGCGTTAGTAAGCAGCGACAAATTCAAACCGGTCGGCTGAAATAGAAAACACGCTAACAATCACAAACAGGATTGACTCGGAAAAAACACAAGACATGCGAATATGAAAACTAGTGAAATGTACTGTTACCCGTCAGCTAAAACTCAACAACACATACAGAAACACATCGTAATATGTGTTCCGGGTTCGAACCCAGGGAGGAGCGTGAGAATCACACAAGACAGCATTGGTTACCACGATGAAACGCATGAATAGTTGTAAGCAGTCAGGGGACCTGTTTGACCGTTAATACCGATTGGCGAACAATACCCCAGTTGTAACACCCACTTGGTACCTAGCTGCCATGCTACCCGAAGGAAGCGCGAGGGCTGTCAGGTTGCCCAAACCTAGACACGGGTAATCAAGATGCAGATATCCGGTTGGAATCACTGACCTACCGGTCAGTAAATTCGCGCTCTAACCACTGGACTTTCTTGCCTCAAATGAGGATTGACTCGCTAGTCGGTAAATGTAATTACGTTAGGGTCCACTAATATTGTAACCAATATACACCACCAGAGAAGGAAGTGAAATTCGGAGATGAATTTACTGTCACTTAGACCATCTATCAGTCTCACTGAAGAGAGGTAGAAAAACCCAGGTTCAACATTCAGCACAACTCCAGCATAATAGTGACAATTTAAATCGTGCGACCACTTACTCCCAGTTGTCGTCTTAATGAGAATCCAACACCAATGCAGAGTTCGGAGGACACCGCTCAAATTACGCTACTCTGGCCTAAGAGATATGAACATGTTTGCATGGTGGGTCAAGTCAAGCACCAATGTGTGGCGTCTGCGGTGGGGAACTGATCGGTAGAACTTGAATAAAAATACGCAATAAGAATTGTGCAGTAACGTATTGCTTGTGAGACGGAGCACAGAAGGCTACCCATATCCGAGGACCATGAATAAGCGGGGAAACACGATAGGTCGGAAGCAAAAACAACAACGAAGGTGCACGTTTGAAGAAAATAGTCTTCTGAAAAAAGTTTCCGGTGCGTACGGCACTGCTTTTAGAAACAAGTCGGACAACACCACACCGCAATTTTGCGGCAAACAAATCAGGACCCTTGTCTTACCGCTGTGTGCATTAACCACCGCATCCACCGGCATCAACAGTCTTGTCCCTCTTGTAGGATTATCTTAATGATCCAGCTAAAAGTGGATTTTGAGAGATGCTTTTCTACTGGGAGTCTCCCCTACCCCAGAGAATCAGTTAAAATAGAGTTCTTCCGAAGGACGGTATCTCTCGATGTCAGCCTATCAGTTCAGTTCATCATTAGGAACTATATAAACCATTGGTCCCAGCTGATGCTGTTTCAGCTAACTGAAAATGGGGGGGCGTGGAAGATAGAGCCAAGCATTTGAAGTGATGGCGTAATCCCTTAGCTTACATTGTATATCGCTTTTAGGAAACGGGAGACTGTGAAGCTGCGCATTGAAGGCGACAGATGCCACTGGCCACATGACTGAACTATGCCTGCCAGTCATTAACTACTGAAAAGTTTGGTAACGGGATCCCCATCCAGTAAGTCGGCATTTGCCAACCCGACCGAGTTCACTGGTTGTTTTCATAATTCGTTGCCAGAGCACAGACTGTTCATCTCCTGGACTCATCCACGCATCATATAACCAAGAAAAAATCGCCATGAGAGGAAAACGGTCCTGTCGCATATTCTAACCAACGTAACCTGCGAAGCATGAACAGCTGATCCGTCGTGGGAGGCCCCTTTTCCCTAAAACCATTTAGCCTACCTCAGCATTGCTGATACGATGTTCCCACCAGACCCAGCGTCTGTCTATCTGTCCAGATTACGATTAAAACCCGCCGGGCCAGTCAGCTATTACGGAGGTTTGCAGATTTTAAAACTTTGTTAATATACTATTCATCTAGACTCAAGAAGCCATCCATCCAAAGATGTGAAACGCAGGTAATGCAAAGGTGCAACGAGCAGGTGGGTGTATGGTAGGTAGGATATACTTGTTCAACATAATCGTGCTACTGAGGTTTTTCTAGTAGTTTGTACAAACATCGCGAATTCAGGCAGCCAAGTTGGACATCCCGCGGCATGCCTAAGCAACAGAAAGTGGCTAGAGGTGACCGTAATTTAGAGGTCCAGTAGTAGTTAGAAACTGATGAAGTATTGGTCGTCACTGCATGCCTTTGAGTTGCCGGAATTCGCGGGCTTTCTGAAAAAACACCCATGTCCAATGTGCTGATCAGGAGTGTGGATAGATAAAATAGGGGGACGAGTTCAAAGTTACAGGATGCCCCAGGTAGCCGACCAGGTAGCCGCGTCTACGGCTGTCCCCCAAAAGTAATCTCAGAGAAAGCTCACAGCAATGTCATTCATGGAAAACAATGACGCTAGCAGTATGCAATAATCTATTGGTAAAAGGTCAAACATACTTTATGACAGTAACATCTTAAAAATTAGTCCCATTTGCCATCCAGAAAAAACCGACCTCCTACAATACAAACCATATTGGTGATGGAGCATATGCGCCTAAGCGAGTTTCTATACGAACACTATTTACCTGTCCCTGTCTAGAAAACAAATGGTAGAGCAACCTAGATCGCAACTCTAAAGAGCGTATGGATGTCAAACCCAGATGACTTCATTCTCGGGCGTGCCTCTCCTACCTCCCCTCCATGGTGACCGTCGCATCAAATCCCTTCAAGCTTGCTGACCGTCGCATCAAATCCCTGTTATCAAGCTTGCAGAATGCAATCCCACCTTTCTTATAGCAACATCTATGGAAAATTTGTCTCCACGCCTCCAACTGTACTATTCCCCACCTAATGTTAAAGGATAAACCTAAACGTCATAACAAATCGCTCGGCTTGCAACAGACCGTCAATAATACTGCGCGCCTTGGAATAATCTCTATAACAGCGCATAACAGTACACTGAGTTGCTTACATCCCAATCTCTTAGGAACATTTGCAGGCTTAAAAACCTAGGCAACGAATCCAGGGTCGGTGAAAATCACTCGTCCTCTAGTATAGCTGGGTAATTTCCGCAGCGAAGCATGTGTTTAACATGTGAGCTGATATTAGTCGTGAGAATTCTGTCTGATGATCGTGGGAAGTTCAAGCTACGACCTCAATCAACCTAATAAGATTGATTCTGAGGTTTATTAGGCAGACGGTTTTGGATATCATGGTTTGTGATTCATGTACATAATCCAGAAAGATCAACCTTGCTACCACTGTGTTGAGCATTTGTGTACCACACATCCGACTGAGAACACGGCACATGTTTTAGATCAGAGCCCGAGCAACATTAGTACTTCAGATAAATCTGCTCACAGGGACATAACAACTTGACAGGCCATATAGATGGGATGACGATGCATTCGCAGCAAGAGCGGGTGCTAGTTAACAAGCACCAATGTCTTTCTGGATCTCCATGGGGAGTTGGCGTGATGAACAGATACAATCCTCAGGAAGCAATTTCGACACTTTTCCCGTCGGTAGCAGTCAGTCGTACATATGACTTCGTGAGTTGTCAACGCTGGTTCAAGATGCACTACGCACTATCCACGGGTAACTCGTGAAGTCTGTGATCCAATATGGTAACGAGGAACCAACTGGTCGATTGTTGGCGTTTTAGTTCGTAGCCACGGGAAACATCCGCTTTCTCAGAGGTTAGGCAACTCTATAAACCTCACCCTCTGAAAATGTGTGTGCACATAGCTGGCTATGAACCACAGCCACATCGGCTTCTATCGATCCACAGACTCAAGCAGTTCAATGGAAGCAAGAGAAGTCTTCTGTTTCCGACTTTCATGAGTGACACGTATAAACCGCAGAAGAACAGATAATAAGGACGACTAGAAATCATGTAATTCGCATGTAATTTGCTCTTCGAATCGGAGCTGTGAGTGCTCCATTTTGAGCGGCTCCAGTCAAGTTTGAGAAGCTACCTACGGAAGTCGCAACCATAAACATGAGTCCTACGCGATTTCTGGCTTGCAGGGGTTCACTATCAGCTAATCTCGTCGGCAGAACAGATTGGACAGATAAACATTTTATGATAATACCGTCTCGAACGGAATTTAGGCGACCCTACTCAAGATATGCTATATAGATGAGATCATTTCGGCAAAAATGCCAATTGGACAATTTTAATGAATTAATTCACGATGATCTGGGTCGCTAAAATCTAGTTAAACGGAAGATATGAATTACTTTATGTAACAAATGGAATACAAACAGACTCCTGCTCAGGCTTCTGTAAAAAAGCTAACCTGTAAATGGCCAGTAGATCCAACTGAGAGAGGAGCAGAAAGCAAGGAATTTGAACGACCTTGCATGGCAGGTGGTTTTGGATGAGTACCACTCATTGCGGCTGCGGCTGCTGCAAGTGCTGCCACAGCGTTGGTTGAACTAAATGGTGGTGGCTGGCTGCGAGGTGCTGGGACCGCTGGTGGCGGAATAGAAGGATTCATGACAGACGGAGGAGGGATCCCACGGGGACCCAAAGGAGGAGGTGGGGTTGAAAACTGCATCATCTGTGGAAACGGGGTTAACGTTGGTGGGGGTCGAACTGGTGGGGCCACATTCATGGGGATACGTGGATGGGGTAAGGAGGTCGAAGTTGAAGTTGGTGGTAGAGGTAGAAGTCCAACGTTTTTATTTCCAGTGGTAAATCCCAATGTAGCAGATGAAACTGAGACACTGGCACACTGTGCCAAATTTGATGATCGTTGTAAAGATTGTAAGAGCGATAATGAATCATTTGATAATGAAACTGGAACCGTGGACCCAGTTGGAATTGGCTGGTTTCCTGAATCGTCCGGCGAAACTTTGGATTGGGTTTTCTGTGCAGTAGAGGTCTTTACTTGTACTGCTCCCGGCGCTGCCGGCGTAGTCGTGGAACCGCCAGTGCTCCCAACACGATGACGATGGTCTATATGTGCCTGAAGATCACGCTGACTCAAATAGGTGCGACGACAGTTGTCACTTTCAAAACACATAAAAATGCCACCAACAAGGCAACGCTCAATATTTTGCACCGACTTCTGGCACCTGAAAACACATGAGATTTTGAAAGAATAAGTATTATCTGAACATGACAGTTATTTAGGATCAGAGAAGGCACTGGCGCCGAGGACGGTTGTGTAGGAACAAAATATTAGCCTTGAGTTGAGCAATGAGGTGCAACATGACCCACACTACACCACTCCTATTAAATAAATCCCTTCCCTGTGAACAACTCAACAGTCGAAACGGCGAGGTTGGGTTCCCTTCAGAGTGATACAGTTGAACCCTATTGAGGTATTGCCAGAACTGACCACTTGAACCTTGTAATGGATTGCAGGACATTGATGATATTCAACACCGAGGTTATGACGATAGTGCCGAGGAGATCCCGACTCAACTCGGACTATGGACCATGCAGTAGACCTACGTTTGCGAGAAACCCTCAGGGAATAACAAAAAGCCACTCTCCCTGTTTCTACGAATCGCAAGCAACTGCGAAGCGTAGTGCATGATCAGCCAACTATCCCCAGACAACTCCAACTAAATCACGTATTCTGCGTAAGTATATGTATACTGCATCCGAAATCTGGTGATAGGAAACCGGATGCAGGCTTTATACGGTGCATTGTCTCACGTGACCGCATACAAATTTACTCTGTATCAAGTGGATTTCGAAGATCAATTTTAAAACAGTGCACAACCTTAGGTTCCTATGGGTGTCCGACATAGTAAGTGGAAACCGCATATTAAACTGAACGCTGGTTGGCGTTTCAGCGCATTACAATCACCTTGATCGATAGTCCACGCTTATAAATAACTTATTAGGATGCGATATCTATCCGCTGAAGAACTGCAGTCGCATTGGGTATTCTGCATTCGGATCTCTAGCCTTCCTAAGTTCTCGCCATTAACAAAATAGAAGTATAGCCGTCACCTACCAGAATTGACAACCGATATACCTTTATTCGTGATTACGCGGTTCGGAGTAACTGAAATCTAGGCACCCTTGGCTACCAGAATGGTGTCAAACGGTGGGCTTCCTACATGTTTTTTCGCCGACAGAGAACTTCTCACAATCCACTTCATAGCCACGCTCTCAGAATTCTGGAGAACTAAAACCACTCGGTCATTAAAACGGTTGAGTGTAGATTAAACGGACTACAACCATGTAAAACGTAAATAAGTGCCATCCTGAAAAACCGGACGGTTAAATGTCGCTTACCTGCTACATTTGTTTGACAATTTGACAGCGCATTGATAACAAAGCACATGCTTGCACGGCAACTAGAGACAAATCATGGTAGAGGAACGACGGCTTGCTTACCAGACGGCCATAGATGACGATAGGAAGGTCGCACTTGTCACAGAAGTGGAATAGTACGTCCTTGGCTTTCTCTCCCACCAACCAGATCTATTAATGCAAGAAAAGACCAACAATTCAGAGTAAACACGGATGTCCTATAACTGTTCCAATTGGAAGTGTCTAGTGTGCAGTCGGGCTTCTGTGTCACTATGGGGTGGAGCACCATACCACAACAAATCATCTGTGGGAGAGGAGAGATTGGACGTTGAAACAAACCATAAAGTTGGGTTTAAAATACAATAGCCCCTCATCCCTCCCCTATAATGAGTCCACATTGTTTAATCTAGTCGTGTCACAATCCAATGCCATCAGGTGTTCGTTTACTTTTAGGCATGTCCGGTCGAAAGTTGTTATACGGCATGCTTTTCCAGACTGGTCTGTCACGTCGAAATAAGCTGATAAATACGGGCACATAATGGGTCATGCCACATAGTTTGCGCTGAGCTGCACTTACATCCACCTGAAAGCCCTGTACGCAGTGTCATCATCAAAGACAGTAACATCAGTGTTGGCACTGATGCTTCACTGCTGTACCCAGTGTAAATCCGATGGAATCGACCGGATGGTCAACATCAGCAGCAGTTCCAAATAGCAGCCCACAACTGTCAGTTCAAGTGGACAGAAATGAACAGTTGGTCCCATAGTACATTAAAAGATATATCTGGTAGTCCACACCACTTAGGAAACTTACCTCAGGCTGGCTAGTACCAGCTATCGTACGCTTCGGTTCGTACAACTTTGGTCACAGATGTTATATACTAACGTTGTTTACTTGCTACCCATTAAACTAACCCTGTTTCCTGATGTTTTAGCTGATGTACTGAAATTGTTAGAAGAGTAGAGCCTATCATTCAGAAATCCTCATTCTCTCTTTCTGGCTCAATCAGTCGAGTGCATTACAATTTAATCTTCTAACAGAATACAATGGAACGACTGTTTCGTCCAGATCGGTTTAGAGCCAACTCCCAATCCTCTCCTGCTTCAGAACAGTGGATCCATTGGCATGAAACGTTTACGAATTTCCTCTCATACATCGAACTCTCAAACGTCGTCTATCAACATGTTCGTGAATGTACTACTTACGAAGACGCCATCCAGACATTAAACCCAAAAATGAGGTCCTTGCTCGCCACGTGCTGGCTACTACCAAACAAGAACCAGGTCAATTATTCGACACATTCCTGCAGTCTAATTCTGTTCGCCAACGACCACTAGAAAAAACACACTCAAGCTTCAACAAGCGTTTGACGAGGCACGTCTGCTTGAACATGCTCAACAACAGTCACAACTCGTCTCCTCATGTTCCCTGTGGTGCCGCATCTAGCAAAACTGATGAACTTTTGATTCCTGTTCGTGATGCCCTTATCTCTCAGACTGACTCTAATGACGCGATTGCAAGCACAGCCTTATCTTGCTTCTTCTGTGGCAACGGCAAGCACTTTCGTTCAAAATGCCCGGCTCGTGAATCTTTCTGTCATTCCTGCGGCAAGAAAGGTCATTTCCAAAAAGTGTGTCGATCCAAACCGAATTTAAGTCGTATCACATCGATGTTGAACCCTGGTGTCTCATCCAGTTTCAACATCTCTTCATCTATTGGACTTTCCAAATCAATTATTGATGTTATGGTGAATAATATCCCAGTTCATGCTCTTGCCGATACTAGTAGCTGCGAAAGTTAAATTTCTTTTGACATCGCACTAAAGCACGATTGGACAATAACATCCTTTAAGCGCGCTATCCCGATGGCTTCAACGAATTTATCTTGCGTTTCTGGTGGTCATCTTCGTGCTACCATGCTGTACAAAAGCACGCGATACGAAGGTGTCAAACTCTCGCTCTTGTCCAACTTGTGTTCAGACATCATTCGTGGCCTGGATTTTCTCGGTCAACATCAGAATGTGGTCATACCATTCAGGGTAAACGGCCCCCATTCGCCGTATGCACACTGAAAGCAGCGAAAATCGATGCTCCCTCTTTGTTTGACAATTTCGCTCCGATTGCTACAAAATCTCGTCGTTTCTTCGCGCAGATGTGTCTATCGAGAAGGAGATCCTGAAGCTACTAGCAGACAAAATTATTGAACCGTCTAACTTCCCTTGGCGGGCCTAGGTTCTCGTTACTACAAATGAAAGGTATAAGAAGCGCATGGTCATCGATTATAGTCAAAGCGTAAATCGCTTCGCGCACCTTCATGCGTATCCTATGCCGAAGGTTGGCGAAGTTGTGGAGGTTCCCAATTACACTGTGTTTAGCACACTAGACCTTCAAAGTGTGCACCATCAGATCCCCATTCTCGACAAAGACAAGCCACATACTGCATTCGGGGCATGTGGTCAGCTGTTTCAATTTCGCTGCATTCCGTTCGGAGTTACTAATGATGTGACCGGCTTTCAACGCACCATAGACAACATCATACGCATATGTTGACGATGTTACCGTGTGTGGTCGTGATGCCCAGGATTATCGAAATTTAAAAAAATTCCTAAAGGCCTCAAATAATAAATAAAATCGTTCAGCTGTAGTACTCCTTCGGTGCCTAGCTGCCATGACACACGAAGGAGGCACGAAGGCTGGGGAACTGCCAGGTTGCCCAAGCCTAGACAGGGGAAGTCGAGAGGTAGAGGTCGGGTTTGAACCACGGACCTTCCGGTCAGTAAATCCGCGCTCTAACCACGTGGGCCATCTCGCCCCAGGGGCCTCAAAACGTCATGGTGATAGATTTAACCGTGAAAAGAGCATCATAGCTGCTGCGAAAGCACATTACTAAGATATGAAATATCTCACGGTATGATAAAACCAGACCCTGAACGTTTTCGAGACATAAGGGAGTTGCCTCATCCATGTGACATTCGCTCACAACGAAGATAGGTCGGAATAATGGCATACTACGCACACTGGATCCCGTGTTTTTCGGATAAAATTCAGCAAATCGTCCAAAACTGGATGTTCCCCATTCCACATAGCGTACAAGCTGCATTGAATAATCTAAAACACTATTTGGAAAAGGCCGCCGTGTTTACCCTAGCCTACACTCGTCCACTAGTTGTGGAAACTGATGCTTCCGACAGCCATTGCGGCTACTCTCAATCAAGACGGGCGCCCGGTAGTTTTTTACGCACTTTGTCACACAAGAAGCGTCATCATTCAGCAATCTTGTTGAGGCCCTGAGAAAATGGCGATACTACCTGATTGACAATCACTTTACACTTGTCAACGATCAGTCACCTTCATTTGCGACACACAGCACAGAGGCAAAGTGAAAAATGACAAACTCTAGGGATGGAAAATCGAACTACCCTTTTTCATTACGATATCCAAAACCGTCCAGGTAATAAGAATAAAGCCACTGACGCACTCTCGTGGGCTGAACAGATATCTTCGATTTCACACGTGGATCTCAAACACCTTCATAACACGCTGTCATCCCGGCATTAAGCGGACGCTTCATTTCGTTGGCTCGGAAAACTTACCGTTTTCAAATCAATGTAGTATCTGTTCAGAATTGAAGCCTCGTTTCCTTAATCATCCTTTCGGCAATCATATCAAAGCTACACAGCCATTTGAACGCGTAAGCATCCATTTTAAAGGCCGACTTTCATCGACTTCCCACAACGAATACCTTTTAACAATGATCGACGAGTACTCCCGTTTCTCATTCGCCTTCGCGTGTACGGATGTGTCCTCACCCACCGTAATCAAGTGTTTTAATCAGTTGTTTTCTTCGTTCGGACTTCCCTCACACGTTCATTCTGACCGCGGTGGAGCCCTCAAGTCGGGTAAAGTACAAACGTCCCTTCACGAGAGGGGTGTGGCAACCAGTCCAACCACCTCAAACAATCCACGCGGTAACGGGCAAGTTGAATGGCTTAATGGCACTCTTTGGAAAGCACTCTGGCGTTGAAGACCCAACAACGGGACATTACTGAGTGCGAATACGTGCTTCTAGATGTTTTGCACTCTGTTCCTCCCTACAACGCACCATTACCAACACAACACAACACGAAATATTTCATAACTACCACCGGAGGTCATTGTATGGCACCTCTCTTCCGACTTGGTTATCGACTCCAGGCCCCAGTCTGTTAAAAAGGATGGCACGTTCTTCCGAATACGATCCGTTAGTGGAAAAGGTCGAACTTGTTAATTGCAACCCGCGATATGCTTGCGTTCTTCTCCCAAACGGAAAGGAAAAAACCGTTTCTCACAGACATCTGACACCCAAAGCACAAAATATCTCTAATGTCTGCTTGACTGGATCAATCGAAAGTGTAGCGGCTCCTCAGTAAGAGATTCAACCACACTCGAATGATCCTCCTGGAGGCGAAATGGCACCACCAGAACAACTCAATGAAATTCAGAGAACGTCCTGCAGTACATCGCGGACCAACAACGTGTTCGACCACATGGTCTTCGAAACCACGAAGCCTGATCTATGTTCTCCCGACAATAACCCCTCCGACAGGGAAGAATGTTATATGCTAATGTTGGGTTAAACTGTTTACTTGCTATTCATTAAGCTAACTGTGTCTCCTAGTGTTTTGGCTGATGTACTGAAATTGTTAGAAGATTAGGGCCTATCATTCGGCAATCCTCATTCTTTATTTTTGGCTCAATCATTCGAGTACACAACAGGTAGTCACCTTTAGCGCCGCCCCAGGCTTAACACTCCGGAATGATGGAACTGTTTGTGCAAGCCAATTGCAGATGGATACCCGAAATAAATATTCATAGAATACAATAAGCTGCGGTAATTCACAGCTGAACACAACAAAGTACGGCACAGTACAACGTATATAAAGCAGACGTGATACAGTAATAAACCAAACCAGAGCCTATTCGTGGGACTTAACTTACGCCCACTTTACGTTAAGGCAGTGAACAGACAGTAGCAAAAAAACACAACCCGAAGATCCAAGCCCAAGACTTTCAGTGGAGAACCACATCAGCCTCGCAGAGACCTGGGCGGTAAAACTCACCCAGACGACAGCGAGGTTTGCCTATTGTATCTAGAACCGAAAATTCTCCCCGCAATTGAATGAACGTGTCGGCTGCTAAATAGCTACAGTGTAGTTATTTGTCCACTTTCTGAGTTGTTAGCACCCACCTATGTGGAGACACGGTTACATCAGGGCAACGAAAAGAAACTACCTCAGATGAGAGCTGGAAGCAAGCAGTGTTCATGTCCACAGCGGTGGCAAAAACACTTTCTGCTGGTTTTTTCACGTGAATTTTGGTGAAGATCAAAAACTATCTATTTCGGTAATGCCCAGGAACGTGAAAAGCCGCGAACTCCAAGCTCATTCTTACTATGGTAAGAAAGTAAACCCGTTAACCGTAGAGAATAAGTCATCAGGCTGAAAAATAACCACCACAGCAGAATGAAAGACCAGCTAATCGCTGGAGCAATAAGTAATCATTCGGCTGTAGCACGTTTTCGGTGCCCAACCGAAGGAAGCGTGCGAGCTGAAAGTGTGAAAACCTGTTTGGTTGTTGGTCTGTTCGCCGAGCTTGGCAGTCGGATTGCAAACGTTTCATCACCAATCGAATTGACATCGTCAGTGCAGGGTTGAGTAGGTGACTCAGCTCGGCGAACAGACCAACACCCAAACAGTGCACCCGAGCTACCTACATTCCGCAACATTGCTAGTGTGAAAACCTGCCCATAGTTCCTACATTGTTATATCAGCCTCCAGGAATCATGGTTCGTCATTCTGTAAACTTCATATCGCGTTGCAAAAATATAGTAACTGAAAAAATAAAATACCAACTAAATAAAGCTAACAAAAACTCACACTATTTCCCCAATTCACGCGTTTTGAGCGGTCTCTTGGGTCTTTGCTGCTAATTTGAACGGAAGAAGTTGAATAGTTGGATCCGGATCGAGAGTGTCCTGAAGGGTGCGAGCGGCTTCGGGATCTGCTCGTATATGTGCGTCGACGCCCACTGGTATATGACGAACGAGACCTGGAACGTGTGCGAGAGCGAGACCTAGAACTATAGCTAGCGACACCTTGTGATGGAGAACGTGATCTGGACCATGAGCCAGGTCGAGGAGACCGTGACCTGGAACGAGAACGGGATTCCGAGTATCTAGAGCGACTTCGAGTTCGAGAGGCTGATCTTGAACGACTGTGACTGAAACTATGCGACGAATATGGGCTCCGCGGCGTTCCAGTCCTACTCCGGCTGCGGCTTTGAGCAGGGTGCCTACTGCGCGAACGACTTCTAGTCCGCGAGCTGTGACGACTAGAAGTGCTGGTCATAGTCGCGGGTCAGGCGCACGGCTACAAACAAAAAAATGCTCAAATTGAAAGTCGTTTGCAAAATGGACTTGGCACCGTTTTACACTTTGAGTAGTGCAGCAGGCAGACACCACGGTGTTCTAAGGTATCATCAGCTGTTTTGGCAAAACAAGCATGCGTTCAATAGACAATTTCCTGTTTAAACAACCACGCGATCAATCAAACAGTCATGTGCCGCGAAAACCTAGCAGAAGATGGCCCACTTCCAAGACTGTGTATCATTGTGCTGCGTCCGGGTCCCCTTATCCACAAATGTTTTAAGTAACTCGCACCCTAAACGATGTGTATGCCTGCTATGCCGGCGGAGGATTTTATTGGAACAAAGTCGTGGTAATGACTTACCAAACATAGGCGTATATTGTTTATTTGCATAATTCTGTATGATACTTCGGAAATACTAGGTCGAACTATGGTGATCGACGTTACTGGATAGTCGATGATGGCTTCTTAGTTTAGCGGAAAGGTTTCTGGTCTTCTCCATGGGAAATCCAGGACACTTGAAGTATAGCTGTGGTTTGCAAGTAACTAAAACTTTCTTACTGGCAAACTCTGCGCACTAGTCGTATGGCAGCATAACGCGGATAGATTACTGGTAGACGATGATCTTGGGTGGCGATTTTGCGGTGACTGTGAATCCTTCATTGCTGGGATTAAGTTCCCCGTATCGAGATTGATTCGGCTCACAACTCCATCGAAAATCAGTCCAGTTGGAAATGAGATGGAATTGATGGATTCAATGGTTCAATAACTACTGCATTACCTCTGATGGAAAGGGGAAATAAAGGGTACAACCGATTCGAAAAACTTCTTGTTTCCACACTGGTTCTAGTTCCCTGCTCGGATGTGTACTGACCAAGGCAAACGGTTTACGTCAGTGATGTTACGGTCCAGATCGCTGGTGGCGTCATCACAGTCCAAGTCAGTAGTGCAGACAGTCAGGCTGAGTTCGACAGAGGAGTATCACTGAACGATTTCTGAATTGCCCAAACCGCAGAGTTGTATATCCCCGGGTGACGCCAAAGGCCAGCGCCAGACCCTAACATATCATGCCGTACATCCAGATACGAGTCTTGAAGTTTTAGCAACTGATGATTAAGTCTTGAAGTATCCCAACCGACTCATAATCAGCGGTGACAGCAACACCGGATGAGAACATTGGTGCTTCAATGTCGGACGATTTATCTGAATAAAGCCTTATTGTGGAAAATGGAATATGGAGTGAGCCTGCGTGTTAGTAGGACTACCTCCAAACGAACAAATCCGCTTAACTATTTGTCCTGTATACTGAAACCTTTGGTTCTACATTTCAGCCCATCACTGACATCCTATTAGGCTGTTGGCTCTGGTTCAGTTGAATTCCATACCACGGAACGATCCACTTGTTTGCGGTATAACTTGCTCGAAGCTGTTTGTCTTCTCCATTCCGGTGATCTAACGTGTCTGACTGATACATCATCAAAGAGGATATAACACTAGGTATAGCCCACAACAAATCTCTACACCTACACCTCCAACGCTCAATCAGACAACCTCAGCAGACACTGACAGCGCCACTAACTTCGGTTGGTCACTACATTGTTTAGTGTTTCCTACGAAACATAGGGAGGATCAGCTGGACCCACTCAGCACCCAGACTTTTCGTAACGCCCTTCATCCCACCCTTCCATATCATCCCCCATGCACCTCCAGGTTTCCTCCATTTCAAATAAGGCAAAGACAGTACCACTCATCTCGGCAGGCGGCAACTCACCAAGTAAAAAATCTGGCCCATGCCCGTAGGTTGCAGTGCTGGATGCACTCTGCTTCACAAATGCCCGTCTCCTGATCACCTCATTCCGAATGCGTTGGTTCCAACCGATCCCAACTATAGTTTGGAGATATCGATTACCAAAGACGTGAAGATTTCTCAGGTCATCCACCAGAAGTGACTAATTCTCGCAGCCGCACAGCAGTATACCCTGCACCGTAGTCCGATACACGTGTCTTTTGGTATCCAGAAAGACTCCTTTTTTGAGGCGCGAATTGGCAAAAGTAACTATGGTCTTTGCGATTTCCTATTTGACTTCGTCTGTCACAATAATGTCAGAGCCAACGCAACTCCCAATATACGTATAGCGCTCCACAACCCCCAGTGCCACTCCTTGAATTCTTAGTGTGAATATGAAGCCAAAGACCGTACTGCTTGACTATCGGTGCTACCAAAGCATTGCGTGGTTCTGGTGGGAAACATCAGATTAGAAATGCGGAGATACGCAAGAAGGTTTTTGGGGACGTTCAATAGCCCTCGACAGATCGACTGGTCACTCTACAAGGCTACACCGGTGCAGTGAGAAGGACAAGTCTGAGGAGACCCGGATACCAAAATCCTATTTGGCATCTATCCTCATGATGTTTTCTGGTCCTTTCTCACCAAGTACAAAGGCATCCTCCAAATGACATATGGACGCACTTTTCGTCATTCAGAGGAAGGTGCCAGTCCAACGACCACTGCTTGGTAGCGTCTACATCCATTTGGAGGGCACTGGCATTGGAACTCCAAAATTTCAAGTCGTCCGCAAAAAGTAGACATGGACTTGCAAGAACATCTGGGATGTCGTTGACGTAGATCAGAAACAGCACTGGTCCCAGGACGGAGCCTTGAGGAACTCCCACGGAGACCGGCGCTGGAGAAGAGTAGATCGAGCCTATTCTTACTAGGAATGATCTGTCTGATAGGAACGCCTTGATCCAGCGAAGGATTTCCCCTTGAATCCCGCAAGACTGGAGTTTGTGGAGCAGCGGGACGTGTGGAACCCTATCAAATGCTTTTGAGAAGTCGAAAAATATGGCACCCGATATGAGACCTTGGTCCTTGGCTTGGGTTAAGCTGTCCATAAACACGAGCATGTTTATTACGCAAGAACGGTTTGGGAGAAACCCGTGTTGAGCTGGAGATATCAGATTGCTGGAAGTAAGGTGATCTAGGATGGCTCGCTTCAGAATGCGTTCCATCACCTTGCACGGCACGCTAGTGAGGCTTATAGGCCTATAGCTGCCAGGCGATAGTCGGTCACCAGTTTTGTATATTGGCGTGACAATCGCTTCCTTCCAAGCAGGGGGAAGGCGGCCTTCGTCAAGCGACTGACGAAACACCAAGTGTAAATGGTTTGCCAGTGTGGAGGACGTTTCTTCCAGGATCCTTACATGGGCCTCGTCGGGCCCCAACGCGCAGAATGG